CATTGATGTTTCACTTAAAAAAAATGCATGTTAAACATTCATGTTAATTATGCTTTAAAAACACAGGCAATTAAAGGGTGTCTTTATTATGTAAAGGTGGATCTGAGCTTTTCTCATGGGAGGGGATATTATCTGTTATTTATCTATATGTTTATTTCTTTTTAAAAACACCTTATATTTCTGAATAATTGCAAAAGCAATTATAGCATTGATTATTTTGTTATAAACAGAAATATGTGCTAAAATAATGGTTTCATTTCTTCAAAATTGTTGTATAATTTAACAGGGATGCTAATAAAATTAAGAGTTCTGTAAATGAAAATAACTTAATCACCATTAAACCCTTAATATGGGGGAATGTGTAATATCCCGCTGAACCCAGTCACCAATATTTACTTTAAAAATGGAACCAAAAGTAAGGAGGCTTTGATGATTCTTATTTTGAACCAGTAGGATAAAAACTGAAACATGTTAAACTGGAAGGTTCTGTAATGTCTCTTTCATTGTTTTCCTGGGAATATTTTTTTTTTTGCAAACTTCTTCTTCCTCATTTTGCATTACTCAATAATCTGCACAAGATTGCTATTAGAATATTTGCTACGATGTCATCTTGGTCTCATCTTCTAAAAAAATCACCAACACAGCAAAAACTAAATTTAGTTAATTCCTCAGCGCCATGCTTCAGTAGAGCTGCATGTGAAAGCATTCCTTATGTCTCAAATTTGAATGAATGAAGACAGAATGCATGTCAACGTCAATTTATTGTCATATAAATCCTTTTTTTTTTACAACAAAACATTTAAAAACCAGCAACATGATAGAAAATATTAAGACCAACAAAAGGCTTTAAGATACAATAAGGGCTTTAGGGCATTTGCCCTAAACATTAACCAGTGAATTACAAAAGTAAAAATCTGTGCATTAAGTAGAATTCATGACCAGAATAATTTCATTTGCAGCTTGTAAAACAAAGAATATGTAATGTATGTTTGTGCACCAGTTTACAGCTGGCTTAAGTAATGTGACAGCATAAAAATGTTTACAGCAATAAAAGACGTCTAAAGAGACATTTCAGCAGGTTCCACAAAGAAAGTGCAAACATACATGGTCTCTGTGGAGGCAGAGTGTATTCAGCCTGTTGAAACAAGATTATTTCACACTTGACGTGTTTGTTTGCCTGTGTTTATAATCTGACAAAACTTTGTTCCTAAAAAAGAAAAGTGCAAATGCAACCATGTTCTTAATAAACTTTCAGAGTAAAGCATATCAAAAGGATTGTATAAAAGTATCTGAAAACTGAGGAATGTATTTCAATCTTCAAACATAATTAAAAAATCTTCATGGATAATATTCCATAGAGTTACATTTCTAAACTTTCTCAACATGTGACATGAACTTGCTTCAAGTGAAAACTTTTTTTTTAATATTTTGAAATGAAACACAACGCTCCATGTCTGCATTCCTCCTGAATTCACCATGTTTTGGATACAGATCAAATCCTGATAACATCCTGTCAGGTTCTGACATATGAACCAACAGTTTTCCCTATTCTTATTTCAAAAAAAGAAAAAGAAAAGTGAAAGCAGAAGTCAACATAATGCTTGGCAACTAAAATAAAGTAGTCTGTGATTTTCAGGATAGAAAACCTGAGCTTTTTTGTAGTGATTTGGTTGATAAAAATTATAAATACCACCTTAAAAATTTATCATTAGCAATTTTAAGTCATAAAGCCTGAATAATGTCACTACATTTGATGACTTCAGGTGTAATAAAGAAATTTCTTATCTTTTCTGGAAGGCAGGGAACGGTTGGCAATTATTAAGCTTAAAGGGCAGCTGAAAACAGTAAACATTCAGTGTAAAATGCCGCTGATGAATGTTTTTGATTTATCAATCAAATAACTGCAGCTCAGATTGATGTTTTATATACTAATAAAAGTGAAAATCAAACCAAATGTAAACAAAAAAAAAGTTTCCCTTTTAAAAGCAGCTGAATTTAAGACAAAACACAGAGATCAGGGTTGATCTCTTTCTGGCTGCTGTCAGCTGGATGTTTCCCGTTCTCCTCTGAATCCTCAGGCAGGTCTCCATCGCCTGGAAAGGTCCGGTCCTGCTCTGGGGTCTCAGCGGATGCGTCCTCATATGCGCTTTTGTCTGAGTCGTTCCTGTCAGGAGACGGATCCCGCCCGTCCTCAGTGTGCCCTTCATAGGGCCTCTGAAGAACGCCATCGGTGGAAATGATGTCGTGTAGAGCTAGAGAAGGCGGCAGGCCCAGATCCTGGCTGACCACTCGTCCCGTCTTTGTGATGACACTTCCTGCTTCTCCTAAACCTTTATCTGGTCCCGCTTCCTCCGCAGCAACAAGCCCAGCGTTGTCAAGTTTGGTGATACAAGGTTCGCACACAACAGCATCTGTTCCGCCTTTCTCCTCATCTGTCAAGTTCAACGCAGCAGTCTGCTGGTTGCTTTCTCCCTGTAAAGAAAGTAAAAAAGTCTTACTAGTGAGCAGTTTATATATATATATATATATATATATATATATATATATACTTAGAATCTTCATCTCTGTCAAATTTTAAATGTGTATAGAAGATCTCAGATAAATGATCTTTTATCACACCATTTGGAGGACATTTAATATAAAACATACCATGTTAAATAAAACTAAATGGGAATGGCAAGAAATCCTGAGAAGTTCTTTAAAATTATGATGATGCTAATGATAATCAAACCGAAGCATTTTAAAATCACTAGCTAGTGGAGGATTTCCACGAATTTTTGAAAAGACCTGCCCACTTAAAAAAAAAAAAAAAAGAGCACATGCACAACCCGGTATCCGCTCCTGAGAGGGAATGCCTATTAAACGCCTGCAAGAGCATGCATGAACCCATTTCTCCTCGTTCACCCTCTGTTTCAAAGTTGTTGTTTGGATCACTCATAGAAGCTTACTTTGCAAAAGGAGATTAGCAATTTTTTCCACTGTGTCAGACTCACCAACGTTAATGAAAATGGGGACGAGCACGTAAACATTGGGGATGCACCGATACAATATTTTTATCGGTATTGGTCCAGATATAAGGGAGAGAAAAAAAATCGGTATCTGTGACAATTGATTCAATATAGGGGCAGATCTAATCATTCGAACTGTAGGGTATGCTCTGCCGTCATGCGGCAGCACAACAACACAACACAGTCATATTAACTTTGATGGAGCGCGGCGAAAGGATCTGCGTTGTGGAGGTTTTTCAGGCTCTCTCAGTCTACTAGCCCAATGGCTACGTGCATTATTTGTGGGAGAAATGTTCCATGAGGCGGTGTTAAATCTTCAAACTATAACACCACCAACTTATTGAAACACCTCCAGAAGTTTCATAACAAGGAACTAGCTGAGATTATCAGACTCGGCAAACAAAAAGGAAGTAGCGGGAAGCAGCTAACTTCTTTGGAAATAAGTTAAATTTTCCATGTAACAGTATAGAGGCCAAAAAATCACAGAGATGATACTTGATAATGAAACTTTTTTTAAATGTGATCAAGTCAGAGAACTTTTGGTTTAAGAGTCATAACTTTTATATGTGGGTTGTTTCCTATTTTTTAAGAAAAGGGAAGTCAAATCATATGCACAGACAAATTTTTTTTTTTTTTCACACAATAAAACCATTTTTTTAGGTAATAAGTCAGTGCTGTTTTTGGTATTGGTATCGGCCGACATTAAACTTCAAATATCGGTATCGTATCGGAGGTGAAAAAAGTGGATCGGTGCATCCCTAGTAAACATGTCACCAGAATGATTGACAATTAGGAGGACCACTTATTTAGATGATCCACCTGGAAAAAGAGAATCTTCCACTATACCTTTAACTGTAACTTTCTTTAGATCGAATCAGGACGTCGTATATAGTTAAAAGAACATTTTTTTCTGTTCCCCTTGGCATCATGCAGGTCACTTCCTTCTAACCATTGCCCACCAGGCTGGACAAGAGTTATACATTTCCCATGCTTACTGTTTGGGTCAGACAATGTTTTGGAACCATCTCTCCCAAAGAACCACAGTAGATCCAAATTCAGAGAGGGTGTATGCGTAATAGGCCATCACCCCCTGCTCTAATGCCAGCTGTACGGTGGAGGATCTGTGATGCTGTGGGCCTGTTTTCTTTCCAGCTGCTCAAGCAACATGTTAGAGTGGTAGCATGCATGTGAAATACCAACATTTGAAAAAACAAAAAACAAAAAAAAAAACGATGAGTTGTCATTGGGTGAAATGGGATATGCTTGCTGTATTTCACCAGGTTTCATGCTAACCATTTTGCTTTTGGGTAAAATGAACTATTTAGATCAAATGAAAATAAATGTGGCTGGCAATAAAAGAATAATGCTTTGTCTATATATTCCACTATTTTCCCTTTTAATCTCTTGTTTTCAGAGGGGTCTATCTGCATCAACTGTCTAACCAGGAGGGCTTTGAATTGTACTTTACAGCAAGAGCCAGGAAAAGCAAATGGAAACCAAGCCTAGTTTTACATCATGTTACTTAATCGTTTAAGCCTTTTATTAAATAAAAACATTATACATGGTGGCTCCAGTTTCCAGCAAGTAATAGCAGCAGGCATAGTGTTGGCAGTCTTAAATTCCTCTTTAAACTCTTGTGAAAATATTATGGCTCATTATTCATGCATGTCATGAGTGTCCAAGATGGAAACCATCGATCGCCAAACGACCAACCAAACAATCGCCAATTGGACTCTATTCAGGCGTCTTTCAACAGATTTCCATCATGGCCGGGGAAAATATTCTACGAAATGATTCTAAGAGCCAAAAAACAGAAGTTTTAAAAACCAGGCATAATATTACCCTTTATAAGCACATGTAACCCTTTGCTTTTATTACACCCAGTTATATTTTTATTTCCTGATTTACCTCTCTTAATCTCTCCACCTCCTTCATCAGAGAGGACACCAGGCTCTCCAGTTTCCTCTTCTCTGCTCTTTCCTGCGAATATAAAAGACATACCAGCGTAACAATAGGGAGCTGGGCCTGTTTTCATACAGTTAGGATTCAAACATTTCAGCTTACCAAATTTGCCTGCCCAGCTTCCCTCTGGGCTTCGGCCAGCAGCTCCTCTACGCTCTCCAAAGTATCCTGCAGGACATCCACCTGGAACAACAGAGCCTCTCGCTCCACCTCCAGCCCACGCAGCTCCTGCACCGCCTCGTCATAGCTGGCCTGCAGCTCCAACTGTACCACACACATTAATCGGTAATGAGCGTGTGGTTGAATCAGTGCTCGACAAGAGGAGGCGACAGTATGTTGGAGGTTGTATGCTGATCCATATGTTCAGAAATACTTTTATGAATTACTCCACAACTTTTAACTCAACTATCAGCAGCAATTTAAGTGACTTTCGTGTTTGAACAGTGAAAAGAACAAGAGTTACCATTTCTGGTAGTCCCATGAAGAGGTCCTGGTCGGATTGCTGAAGAGGACAAACATAAAATATCAACAAGTAGCAGAGCATTTAAACAAAAATTCAAAAGGAAATCACATACATGTATAGCTCCATCCTACCAACTCTGGACTAAAATCTACAGTGTTATAATACCACTTATAATCCTCGAGACATATCAACCTGCCCTTCTTTTTTTGATGAATCTTGGCTTTAGGGCTTTAAATAGTGTTTTTTTAAAGTTTGTTTATTTTACTGGGGGCACCCTATCCTGACAACAGCCAGATGCATGTCTCGCTCCGCCTAGCTCCACTCACATACATCTGGGAACCCGCTCATTGAAAGTGATTTCCCCAACCGAATTTATGGCCTGTCCAATCAGGACGCAGGGCGGGTGTGTCCTGGAGTGGAGAAGCGACCGTGAGATTCCAACAACAATGGCGGCTCGCATTGAGGAAGCAAGCGTTAGCATTGATGCTGCTATTTCTTCTGTGTTATCCAATCTATCTGATATTATTTCATTAAAAGAACAGCAGAGAACAGCTTTGAAGGCTTTTGTTGGTGGAAACGATGTTTTCGCCCTTCTCGCCCTCCCGACCGGCAAGAGCTTGATCTACCAAATGGCTCCTCCTCTCACAGCGTCACGGGTTAGCTTCGGTGTGAGTGGTTGAAATAGCACGTCAATAAAGATGACATACAAGTGGCTTATCCAATCATATGCAAGGAGTTTTGATAAGGCCCAGCCTTCAGTAAAGGCAATTCCTATGGCGGGTTCCCAGATGTATGTGAGTGGAGCTAGGCGGAGCGAGACATGTATCTGGCTGTTGTCAGGTTAGGGGCGCCCAACAATAGATCGAAAGAAAGAAAGAAAAATAGAGCAAAGGGTTTTATTTCATAAATGAAGTGCACCAAAGGGCCATTTTTAGCTCTAAGATCCTCAGATCTAGAAATAAGCAATGTGATTCTATCTCATTACAAATAAATGGGGGAGCGGCAGCCTAGTGGTTAGGGCATAGAGCTTGGAAACCTAAGGTTCTGAGTTCGAGCGCCACTCCCACAGACTGCCACTCTGGTAGCCTAGTAAAGTAGCCCCACCTGCCAGCGGCCAAAATTATTTTGACCTTGAGTTGGTCTAGCCTCGATCACTGCCCCAGGCCCTAGAACTGGCGGGCCAATCACAACGCAGAGATGTGCTTTGAATTTTTGGATGCAAAGCAGGTGGGGTTTTGAGGAGGGGACGACAAAACTGTGCAACACTAGAGAAATCACAACAAGGAAGATGGTAACAACTATTGATCGGTTCTCGTTTGACTCAGCTTTGAAATCAGTTTCGGAAGGATTAGACCTGGGGTTTTCGTTGAAACCTGAGCAGGAAGAGGCTTCATCCATTTTTAAGAAGGACATATTCACCGTTTTACCGACAGGCTGTTTGTTTGCACTCCCCCACCAACTTTCTGTCAACCTTACAGTCAGTTGCGCTCATTGGTCAGAGCGTTGTCCAATAGGCACAGACATGGTTTGAAAAACAACTGGTTGTTCTCATCAACAATCTTCCGATGTCTCATTCATCGGGACCAGACTAAATTACACATTTAATCTCACATTTAGTCTGGTTTATCAGGCTACCAGGCTGGGTCTCTGAGCAAGACCCTTAACCCCAAGCTGCTCCCCATGGCAGCCCACCGCTCCCCAAGGTGGCAGGTTAAATGCAGAGGTACGTTTCTCCAATATGAGATCAATAAAGGTAAATTATTATTACTATTATTCATTATGAATTTGTATTTAAAACATCAGTCATATAAAACTGTAAAGTTTTATATGATTATATACATACACATACTATATATACATATATACATACATACATACATACACATACACATATATACAAACATATGTATATACACACATATGTGTAGGTATATATATGTATGTATATATATATATATATATGTTTATTTATTTATTTTTTTACAGCTTATCTTTAAAGCTGATGTTTCTGACAGACAGACAGACAGGCAGACAGGCAGACTCCTAAAAACATCCAGCTTTCAGGCTTAATCCTTGTGTTGCAATGATAGAGATGGTGAATGCTGGGTGGAGGCCAGCTTGTTGATCTCCTACCTGGCTGTCAGTCCTCTTCCTCAGGTTCCCTGTCCTGCTGTCGCTGCGGGGCAGACGTCTGGAGGAGCTCTCGGTCTGGGAAAACACAGTTAGCATCACAACCAAAACACAGGCTAAATTAGCTCAAAGAAAGGGGAAGTGTAGGCCAGAGGCAGCTACTGTATTATCTATCTAGCCTTTTTTTCGTTATAACCAGAGTAATAAGCACACATCCATCATCTGATCGTGTTTACAGATTATAAAACAGCCGCTTTAGGTATACAGTTATCAACAACACCGTGATCTGTTACCTCACCTCCTTTATTACGCTGCGCAGAGACTCATCCTCGCTCATTCCCCGAGAAATCGTCCGCTTCCTGGGGGAACCACTGCTGTCCAGAGCGGCCGAATGCATTTTTTTCTTTTCACGACTTTATATTAAATTTCCCTTTGGATGTGAGAGACCCCTCCGGCTCTGTTTGTGTTGAAGTGTTTGGTTCCTAAGCAGTAGCGGTGCAGCGACGCCCAGGGTGTGAGCTACGGGAAGCCTTGGGGTCCAAACCGTATTTAAAGCCACGCCCGCTAACTTTTACTAGGAGCAGCTGAGAAGAACGCCTGTTAAAATGTTTTATAGTTTACCCTGGAATATCACGAGTTCTGCATTATGAAATAAATCACTCACGAAATTTGTCAAGTACTGAGTTTGATTCCGTTAATACAAATATACGTGGTAAATAATTGTAATAATCCCCATAAGTTATTTTTGTTTAATCGATCCAATAAAAATAGTCAGTATAGTATAGTGCGGTGCAGGATGTTCTTTCTTTCTTTCTTTCTTTCTTTCTTTCTTTCTTTCTTTCTTTCTTTCTTTCTTTCTTTCTTTCTTTCTTTCTTTCTTTCTTTCTTTCTTTCTTTCTTTCTTTCTTTCTTTCTTTCTTTCTTTCTTTCTTTCTTTCTTTCTTTCTTTCTTTCTTTCTTTCTTTCTTTCTTTCTTTCTTTCTTTCTTCTTGTTTAATGGCGGTTGACAAGCAACTTATTGGTGTGCATTACCGCCACCTACTGGTAAGGAGTGTGGATCAGGACGCAACTTAAAAAAAATAAAATAAATAAATAACTAAATCCTTTCTATCAGTTTAGTTTTCTTAAGAAATCTTAATAAATGACGTAAATATTCAGAAGAGGAGCAATATCCCAACATATCTGATATTTTTAATTGTAACTTATTCTTTAGAAGTCGATATTCTAATTTCCTTCTCTCCTCAGAGTACTTTGGACAAAACAACAAAACATGTTCTACTGTCTCTTCTTGAAAACAAAATTCACAATTTCCTGATGGATGTCTTCCCATTATAAATAATGTACTGTTTAAGCCTGTATGACCAAAACGTAACCTGGATATGATATTATCTTCTTTTCTACTTCTTCCTGTTCCCCTCATTACCCCAACTTTCCTTTGAATGCTATAAAGCCATCTACCAGTTCTTTCCTCCTCCCACTGCTTCTGCCATCTTTCCTTAACCTTTTGTTTTATAATAGATTTTATCTCCTCTTTACTAAATGGAATCAGTATCTCAATGTAACTGTTTTTTGAAGCTTGTTTTGCATATCTGTCTGCCAATTCATTACCTATTACTCCTATATGAGATGGAACCCATGTAAAAATGACAATTAATCCCATGGTCTGAATTCTATAAAGTATTAACTGAATCTCCAATAGAAGGTGTGGTCTACTATTGGAATGATTATTTTTAATTGAATATAATGATGAGCTTGAATCAGAGCAAATTAAACTTCTTAAAGGACGAACATCTTCAATCCAACTCAAAGCCAAAATAATTCCCATCATTTCCCCTGTAAACACTGATACGTCATCAGAAATCCTCTTACATTTTTTAATATTAAATTCTGGAACGATAAATGACACCCCATTGTTGCTACTTAGGCTTTTAGATGCATCTGTAAACACTTGAACATAACCAAAATATTTATTTTCTATATATGATTGGACTGAGCAAGATTCTGAAAAATTTCCTTTTTCCCTCTTCTTCAACAATGATAAGTCCACAATGATTTCATTAAATAGAGATGGATGAACCAGTGACAGAGGAACTGTATCACTCATTTTTATGGATGATAACTGAAAATTTTTAACATCACTTTCTATCTCCCAACCAAAGGATTTTAAAGTCTTTTTCCCTTTTTCCCAACTAGGTTTTAAAATTTCTTGACATGGATGGTTTTTATAATGACCCTTTAAATAACTCCAGTAAGATAATCTTAACTGTAATCTTCTAAGGTAAAGTGGTATTTCCCCCATTTCAACTAACAGAGCTGAGATCGGAGTTGTTCTGATGGCTCCTGTACACAACCTCAAGGCTTGAAACTGAATAATATCTAATTTTTTAAGAAGTGTTTCTGATGCTGATCCAAATGCCAGGCTGCCATAATCTAATACAGATCTTATTAAACCCGTATATATTGATTTTAACGCTTTCCTCTCAGCGCCCCACTCTCTCCCCACCAAACACCTCATAACATTTAAAACTCTCTTACACTTGTCCACTACTTTTTGAATATGACTACTCCAGGTCAGTTTTTCATCCATCCACAAACCCAGAAACTTAAACTCCTTTACTCTTTCTAAATCATGTTTATACAAATACAATTTTAAATCACTAGATACTTTCTTCCTAGTGAAAAATAAAGTCTTTGTCTTATCTATTGAAATTTTAAAACCCCAATTATATGACCACTCTTCTATACTATAAATTGCTTCTTGTAATTTTTTAACTATGAATTTCAAGTTCTTACCTCTCTTCCAGATTGCTCCATCATCAGCAAATAATGAACAACCCATCCCACTCTCTAACTTATCAAACATATCATTAATCATAATAGAGAAAAACAAAGGACTCACAATACTTCCTTGAGGTGTTCCGTTTTCAACAAAATATTTTTCTGACAATTGTTGACCTATTCTTACTTGTATAGATCTATTATGTAAGAAATCTTTTATCCAATTAAACATTGATCCTCTAACCCCCATTTTTCTTAATTTAATTAAAAACCCTTCTTTCCACATCATATCATAGGCTTTCTCTATGTCGAAGAAGACAGCCACCACACTCTCCTTATTAACTTGCCCTTTTCTGATTTAATGTTCTAAACACAAAACAGGGTCCATAGTACTTCTACCTTTTCTGAATCCACTCTGAAATTTTGACAAAAACCCCTTCTTCTCTACAAAATAATTCAGCCTTTCATTTATCATTCTTTCCATTATTTTGCATATATGTGATGTCAAAGCAATGGGCCTATAACTTGTAGGATTTGACTTCTCTTTCCCTGGCTTTAAAATTGGAACTATAATTGCTTCCTTCCATGCCACAGGTAAATAACCCTCTTCCCATATCTTATTAAAGAAATCTAATAATATCTTTTTAGATGAATTACTAAGTTTTTTAATCATAATATAAGAGATATTGTCTTTTCCTGGAGAAGAATTTTTTGTTTTCCTTAAAGAGTTGTTCAATTCAAATAATGAAAAGGAATTATTCAATAGATCATTATATTCTGTATCTACTTCTAATAAATTACTATTTTCCTTAATAATAGAAGCTCTTTTCCTTATTTCTTCTATATTTAAGTTTTTGCTACTATGTATTTCAACAAATTTCCTACCCAGCATATTTGCCTTGTCCTCATCATTTAGAGCCATTTCATCTCCATTCTTAAGAACTGGATAACCATATTCCCTTCTAATTCCATTCATTCGTTTAATCATTCCCCAGATTTTTGAAATATTTGTTTCCCTTCCTATTGAATTACAGAAATTTCCCCAATAAACCTTTTTAGCACTTTTTACTGTTCTTTTAACCAAAGCTTGTGACTTTTTATATGCCAACAAATTCTCAAAATTCTGATTTCTCTTTAACAGTCTAAAAGCTTTATTTCTAGATTTAATTGCCAAATCACATTCCTTTGTCCACCATGGAACTATTTTTCTCTTATATTTTCCTTTTTTCTTTTGAATCGTTCCTCGGGCCGCTCCTAAAATAGCTTCGCAGATCGAAGAATTTACACTATCTATATCCAAATTTAAATTAACCTTTAGCATTTTTTCATCACTTATTATTTTATATTTTTCCCAATCAACATTTTTAAAATTCAATTTTTCTATATTTCTATTAACAACTTTCTCTATTTCTAAACCGATTTCAATAACAATAGGATAATGATCACTTCCTAATGTTGATTCTTTTAAAACTTTCCAATTACTAATCCCAGCAAAATTCGCTGATACTAGAGTTAGATCTAGCGCTGATTCATTTCCATTTCTAATATCAATTCTTGTCCCTTCTCCATTATTAATACAGACCAATTGTTTCTTATCCATTATTTGTTCTACCACTTCTCCGTTTTCATCATTTTTATGACCCCATACAGTGCTAAAAGCATTAAAATCTCCACAACAGATTAGAATTTTTCCTAGATTTTTAAACATTTCCTCTATTTCATCTAAACTCAGTTTTTTACAGGGATTATAAAAGTTTATTATCCTAATATTTTCTTTGTTAATCCAAATTTCCACAGATACCCATTCTAAAGATGATCCTTTATCTACAAACCTATACTGAATCCCTTGCTTAACAAATATTATACAACCTCCTCCACTTTCTTTCTCCCTATCCCTTCTAATGCTATCATATCCCGAAATCACAAAATCTAGTTCTGGTCTAAGCCATGTTTCCTGAATACAAATAATATCTGGTTTAATTTCCAAACAGTTTATATATCCTTTCAATTCTTGACCATTTGCTATTAAACTTCTTGCATTCCATTGTAAGATAATCATTGAGTTTTTCCTCCACCTTGCTTTCCATCCATTTCAAGCCTTTTATTTATTAGTTCCCAAGATAAATCCTTCACGGCCAAAAAATTTTCTGCACCTTTCACTATAATTTAAATTTTTTCTGTTTTCTGTTTTACTTGATCAGTGCAGTTGATTACATATGCCATGAATAATATTAATTTATCCATTGTGATCTCCATTTCAGATTTTGAAGTTTGGCTGGGGTCAGCACTTGTGCTAGACATTACTTGTTGACTTTTCTGAACCATTCTTTTCTCTTGAACACTTTTTGCTGCCTCTGCATAAGTGATGTTTTTAATTGTTCTCAGCTGTTGAATTTCTGCTGCCCTTTTCCTTGCCTCACAACCTCCATATGCCACATTATGCTGACCTCCACAGTTACAACATTTCATTTGTACATCCACTCCACATTCAGCATATCGATGATCTCCTCCACATTTGGCACATCTTTGTTTCCCCTTACATACTGCTGCGATATGACCATACCTTTGACATTTAAAACAGCGCAAAGGGGGAGGGACATATGGTCTTACAGGAAAGCTCATAAATCCAATTTTAATTTTATCAGGAAGGACTTCTCCTTGAAACTCCAAAAGAATCGATAAGCTCTCTATTTTTTCTCCATTTACATGCTTTTGCAATCTTTTCAATCTCCGAACTTCTCCCCCCTGTATATTCTTTTTGAGTCT